ATGCTAGATTTTCACAAGGGGGGGAAAAAATCCCTCCCAGAGTGCTATCTATCTTACTCTTTCACAATGACACAGCAGGAAGCATTTCCATGCACTGAATACTGACAGATGAGTTTCACTGAGAAGATGGAAAGATTGTGCAGGAAAATAACACAGGGTGATGTTACTCAGCTTCTATTAAAACAACTCAAGACTGCATGGATGAGCAAGTAAACGAGTGTTTGCTAATCTCCAGGATGACAAAAATTGCTTTAGCCTTTTAAACTGCACCAAATACAACAGGCAAATACAATTAAAATAGGACACAGCATTAGCATTCTTGATACGGCAGGCCTTGGCAAGGAAGAAAGCTAAGGAATATTTGGAAAAACATTTCTACTTTAAGCCACATGAATGGCATAATGAATTTTCTTGTTGTGTACTGCACATATGGCTTTGAAATGTTTTGGGTTGGTTGGGTTTTTTGTTTTGGTTTTGTTGTTTGTTTTTGTGTTTTTTTTTTGTGAAGGCAACCACTACTAGGAAACATTAGGGTTTTTAAGGAACCCAGTGAATTGTTATGTCCTGAGATAGTATCTCAAAACAACCATGACAGATATACCTATGGAAAGTATTTTCCAGATTTCAGGTAACAAATAGCAGACACAGCACCCATAGCACCTCTGGCTGAGGAATACACAAGTCCTGAACTACTAAGCTGATTTGGGTTTGTATTACCAAGGTATATCCCTATTCTTTCAGTATTCAGCCCACCTGGCTGCCACAGAAAGCAAATCAAGAGAGCCCCATTTGCTCACTGTACAAAACAGCAAATCTTACAATTTTTAGCACATCATTTTTAAGTAAGTAGTCATTAAAACTTGAACACTTGCTCATTGCTTAGGAATCCATGGAATCAATTCTATTGACAATGGCTCTGGCCATCCACATAATTCCTGACAGGCTAACTTCTCTGCTAAATCCAAAGCAGTCCCAGCTAATTAACTAGTAAGCAGTTCTTTAAATTCCACAAGAAAACTCATACTACCCAACGGATGAGATTGTATCAGTGTAAGACGACTGAATGTTGGGAAACACCTTACTTAGTTTACATAGACACATCAATCACCTTTTTGTTCTGATTTATTGAGCTCCAAACCAAGAGAGGATGGTTGCTTATCTTCCAGTGATTGTGACCTAACTGCAGTGCAATGCGGGCACCAGGAATGTTCTACAAAGTGACACTACAAAAATGAACAATGCAAACTTTCCCTAAGCTGGAAACAATTATGAGTTAAACGAAGGCAGAGGGGGAAAAAAAGACGACCGAAAGGAAACTACAATTTTATCCGAATGCTTTATTAAATGCTGAAAGCCACAGTCGACAAGCTTGCAAGAAGGTTTGAGTTTAAAAACTGGCTGAGTGTGGAAGTTGGCACCAGTTCTACGGAAACACAGTCACTACAGAGGATGCAGTCAACATGCCAGAGGGCAAATCCACCCTCCAGAGGGACCTGCGTGGGCTGGAGGAAAGGCTGACAGCAACCTCAGGAGGCTCAGCAAGGCCAAATGCAAAGCCCTGCCCCTAGGACACACTCCGCCCCTGCATGGGGACAGCCCCAGATGGGCTGGGGACAGCTCTACTGGGAAGGCCTCAGGGCAGGGAGAGGCTGAGGAACAGGGCTTGTTGGTGGAGAGGAGAAGGCTTGGGGGGGGACCTAAAAGCAGCCCCCCAATACTGATGAGGAGGTTACCAAGAGAACAGAGCCTTCTCAGAGGTGCACAGCAAGAGAACATGAGGTTGAGCTCATAAGCTGAAAGGGGGGATGTCTGACTGCGTATATGGAAAAAGATCACCATGTGGGTAACTAAGCTTTGGAGGATCCAACATCACCTGATGACAATCATAAGATAAACTCATGATTGGCAAAACTGAAGCCTTACAAAATTTATCGCAATGACGGTGAAATCACAGTACCATTTAATGCAGGCAAATACAAGGGCCCTATCTCTGAAAAATTAATTAAAGTCACAAGGTGGCAGAGAGCGTCCTCTGTCACTGAAAAGGTCTTTTGATGAAAACAACCAATTCCAACATAGGTCTCCAGATCAATTCTGTAGCTGATAAGAAAGTAGGTTTTGGATACATAAGTAAAGGGCTAGCAAGTCTGAATATTGAGATAATCTCTTTATCTAGCATTTGTGAAAATGGATGTTTGATGACACTGCCCAAATTTATTGTACAATCTTCCAAAAAGCTACCGATATCTTGCAAAGAATATAGGAAAGAGCTGTAAACTTACTCAAGCTATATAAACAATTGTATATAATTTAAAAAAATAATTTGTTTAAAAGTGACTTGATGATCACTGGCTGAAGGAAGCTGCAAGGGAAGAGGTTCAGTAATTGACAGCTCGTTCCTCGAGCTGAAGGAGGCCCCGAGGGCCAGAAGCTGAAGCTGCACTAACTCAGATCTCAGATAAAATACAGGGTTTTTTTAAAGCAATTAATTGAACAACTTGAGCTCTGAATTTTGTATCGTTTTACATCCTAGAACAAGGCTGCTTTCACAAAAAACTACAACTACGTGCTCAGGTATAAGCCATAGATTTGATGCAAAACTTAAGAGGTTCCTTATGCAGGAAGAGATCATAACTGTCCCTCGCAGCGTGATCTGTAACACAAACATTCACAGCACAACTGTTTTCCAAGAATCAATAATAAGGATTTGATATCTACGATGTGGCTTCTTCCAGCATCTGCAAGGCGGCAGTCATTTTTGATGACTTAACTGAACAAACTTCAGTTTCACATTTTCAGTAACCAGAGGCAGGCTTCAGATTAGCTGTTAACCTCTCAGGCAGCCACGCTTAGCCTGGAATGTCACCAAAGGATTTGAAATCTGAAATGACATCAGTGAAATACTGAGTCATCTCCTCCAGAAGAACCACAGAAGACAGCTTGAGGTACATTTGTTTTGGCTGTTACAAGCCATATACTCCCACACTGTCAAATGACCAAAGGCATTCTCTTACAGTATCTGTTAGACACAGATGTCTGTATACAAACTATTTGTATATAGATACATTTGCACATCTGTTTGTGTACAGACTGTGCATGCAGGCACATATTTTACATATACACTATCTGTATAATTGTATTACACATGTAAAAAATGTCTCAGGAAAAATTCATTAGCATTCCCATATTTATCATATCTTGCATTGCAAGAATTTTCTTAAGAGACAGGACAGGACCACAGCAGTTTGACTTCACAACAACGTGCTTATACACTACATGGCACCTATACCTGAGAGAGACAAAAACTCATGCTGCAATTGCGTCCTTTGAGACTAATTGTAAAAGCAGCCACTTCTCTGCCTTGCATAATTGATTCTCTCCGGACTAGCATTTCTGGTTTTGGCTTGATATTGCTGTAAGACATACTATGGAAAATCCAGCACTACCTGGTGCTGTCAACTATGCATATACCTAATACCTAAACTAAATTCAGATAAGCTCCAAAAAGAGTTAAAATGGCAGAATATGAATTTTAGATAGCTGTGGAGTCTAGAGTTTACTAAGTAATAAGTGTTTGTTCCAAAAGTATTTTTAATTTAGAAGAAATTAAAAAAACCCACTCGATTTCCCCTTCACTTCTTCCACAGCTGCTTTTATCTGAAAAAAAAAAAAACAAACCTTCCATGCTCTTAGTACAGCAGTATGTATTTTGAGTGCTCACCTCTCCATTTTTGAGGGAAGTGTGTTTTTTAAAAGCAGGGAAGGTTCTTCCTTTCTGTGGATTCCGAAGATTTCCAATTTCTGAACGAGGTTGAGAGATGCAGGACAGCGATTTCTGAGCACATCATCACTCTTTGGGAAGAGGACATTACTGTCTGGCTGGTCTGAGGCCGAACAAAGCACTGGTAAGGCTCACCTACCACAGCCTCAGCACATCTGACACAAGACTGTACTAGTACCATGGGAGTACGTCTCCTTACAAAAACCTACTCAGACACCAGACAAACTGCTTTCCCTCTGGTGGTTAGAAGAAATCAAGAGCCAAATTCAAAACTCAGCAATAGGTGTGTAGCCTCATCATTCCCAAAGAGCTACAAATTTCCCTGGCAAGATATTAGAGAATAATTCAGTCTAACAATGCAAACAAAGAAAATTATTCAGTCTGCGCCAGTGACTTTGCATTTTCAACGAACTCTTCAAATCAACATTTACCTGGAAACTTTCTTCAATCTTTAACTTCAACAAAAGTATTGGAAGAATTTAATTAAAGCAAGAGATCCTGAACATGTGAAGTGTAACTTTTATATGCTTGAGGTATGCATCTGTATAAAGTAACGTGACACAACTTCAGAGATCCATACAAGGGGGAAGTTAGCACTTTGTTCACCTCTACCTCCATGCTCAATCTCAGTTGAAAGGTACACCTCACAGATGTACATCAGGCCACTAATCAATACCATGTCTTGCTTGCCCCACCCATAATACACAGAACAAATAGGATCAGTAAAAAGAAAATAAAGTTTGAACTCCTGTCTTTCAAACGTGCCCAGATTTCTCCTGGCTTAATAAAAGCATAAAACATGTTAAGAGCTGTGAAGAAAAAAGTTGCATTTTGAAAGAGACAGAAGGATGAGATCTTTTTGCAGGCCTTTTAAGGTAAAGGCTACTCACGTAACTGCACCAAATCGATTCACTATCATTTGTTGCACAGAACATGTACAACTTCAGGGAAAATCTCAGAAACAAGGAAAAGATCATCTGTTTTGGGGATACGACTACATTATGGCCAACAATTCTAGCATATGGTGAATAACGCTACTGTGTTGAGTTTACTTTCCCAGATAAAACACATTTTGTTTGAATTACTGGTTGCTGATACAATGAGTCACTCGACTGCCTGAAGTACCAGCTCAAATGCTTTAAAAGGACTGACCGGGAATCGCCGAGTACAGTACATGTATTTGTTTAGGAACAACATGCTTCAAAAACTGTTGACTCACCTTGTCACGCAAATGATGCTCTGCAGCCTCAATATTCAAAGGATCGTCAAAATTCAAAAGATCCTGGAAAAGAAACAGAGAACATTATAGGGTTCCCACTCACTGTGTCATACAAGGAATCCAAAGGCCTAATGAACAAGATAATGAAACAAAGCAAACAAGACCAGCACGTGTAGTGCCATTTTCTCACTACCTTGACAGGTATCCTTGTCAAAGGTAGATGGAAACGAGTTTGATGATTGCAAACCAAATCACAAGTCAATTAAAGGACAACAGCAGCAAGGCATTCACCACACACAGCCCCATGACACCTCTCTCTGGCAGTGATGTATTTCTATTTGAAAACTGAGACAGTTTAAAATAAAATTTTGAAGGAACATTCAGTTTCAGAAGGCACAATTCCTGTTGATCTTTGTTCAAGGGTAAAGTAAACCCTTAAAGAAAACCTGCAAGCAGCCTGATGATAAAGCAGGAAGAGCTTCCTTAATATCATTTCCATAGCAAAGCAACTTAATTCCCTCTGTGAAGAAACTACATAACATGGAACCTGAGAAAGTTTTAGTGCAATGTAAAAAACAGGGCCGAGAGGAAAGGGAGTGCAAAGACACCAAGAGCTAATGGCACGTGAGGCCAGGGAGCAGAAATAATTAAAAATAAATCTCAAGTCTGTCAGTTTAATCTCAATAAACATTAACTTCGAAGGGAGAAAGGGTCTAGGGTTAAAACCAAAGGAAACCAAGATGCTGATAAAAGAGGAATTATCATAAAAAATAACACTGAATCACAAAACCCCCTATTCTGCCTGCAGCCTAGATCACTTTCCCCAGTTTAAGGTTAGCCTGTGACAGCAGTGAAATGCCACTGTTTCACAAGTGTGAAAGGCTCATGTCACTCTCCGGCTCGTTTTCAAGCAGCAAACCTCCCATTTTATTCAAACCAGGACATCAATCCACCTCATTTTCACTCACTTTCTTCAAGAAAACCCCAAAAGAATCTGTAAGGCCAGTACAATCCAATGCCAGCTTTTCAAAGCCTAATTATTTACAAGAGGCTGGGTGTGAGGGAAATCCAAGACGCAAGCTGGGAAGCACAGCTCTTACCAGCCACGACAAATCCCCATGGTCTCCGATGCATGACCATCGCTCTTTGCAGCTGTTTGCTCAACAGATTATTTTTACATGCAGTTCTGCCTCTGAAGGCACTTCTTTGTACCTCCAGTGGATTTCGCTTTCTCCCAGTTACTTAGCATGCAGTGGGAAACTAACTGTGAAATGCAATTACTCTTTGATGAAAAGGCAAATACTCTCCAATCCTCTAAATCAATTTACCAAAGAAGCTGTCAAAACAAATCAAGCCTTTGGATGCCAGGAAAGCTTAGGAGATTGTAGCCAGTCCCTGGCTTGGTCTATGCTAGAGGTTTTACAAACGCACCGTGATCCTGGTGATAGCGCTGGGAGCACAGTCACTGCTCTGCCCCTCCTCCTGCAGGTAGCGGTGGAAGGAATTCCTCTCTCTGAAAACCGGCTGGAGCTAGCAAAGCCCACAGCGATGCTCCTCATCCAAAGCTTTTCACAGCCTCCTCTGTACGCCCTGGAGTGGCTGAGGCAGTTCTCTCCAGAGTCGATGACAAACATAGCAACCACGGTAGCGCCTTTCTTTGCTTTCTCCTGACCTTCCTATCCAGCAGCAATAGCTGTGGAAGGGGACCATAACCCTGGACTCCCTAAAAAAGGCAGCTTTTATACAGTAAAGACTTAGCCTCTCTCCACTGTTAGGGCAAAAGCAGCTGTTGCATCCTGCCTGCCTCTCGCAGCTTCCTGCCCTCTCCGCCATTTTCAAGTTGCTCCTGTAATTACGAGACACAGGTTTCTTGCTCCTGCCAATCTAAGGAAAAGGCAGAAAATGGGATCCCTGAACAAAATCATACCATTTCTATGACAAGTTGGGGTTTGTGCAAATTCTGCAGGTGGGTACCAAGGCCCTTGAATAGGAATATAAGTGTTCAAAATAGGAATGTGACTGCAGGGCAGTCATTAATTCCTAAACATAATTTTTTAAAAACATAACACCAACACAATTCCTTCTCAGAGAAGAATGAACTTCTATTTCGTGCAAAACAGCAGAAGGAATTTCATACTGTGTGGAAGATCCCAAGTAACTTGTTACCAAAATATCCCATAATAGATTTGTAACCAAAAGTAAAAACGATGTACGACAAAGCTGGCATTTCAGACCATCTGTATGAGTCTTGCACTTATACAAACAAAAGCACAAACTGATTTCATACTTGTACAACACCCACTGAAGCCAAAGGAAATAATGACCTTAATTTTAAGCGACAACGGTAGGGTTTGCATTAGGCAATGCTGAAACCAAATCAGGCAGGAAAAAGGGAAGTGGATATGCAAAATATTCATTTACTTACAGTAAATAAAGAGTTTAACCCCCAGACAACATCCTGCAAAGGAAAAGCACAGTCAGTTAGGCAGGCATTTCAGGTGTTTTGAACATGCTTACATACTTTATTTTTCTATTCATCCATGAAATTACTGGAAATCAAATCTAGATTAAGGGTGATGTTTTACTAATTTAAACCAAAATATTGAAAAAGCTTTCCCATTTCATGGATGTTTGATATTTAGAAGTCACCAAAAAACAAATAGTGCATATTCAAATACAAGTTCAGATCTTCCTGTGTGTATAGGAGCCTTATTTGTGTTGCTTCTCTGCTCAAGGAGAGGAATAATACCTTAGTATATGCCACCAACTGACCGCACTGCTTAGTTCAAAGGGTGCGTATAAAACTTAATTCAGCAATCCATTCTTAACATTAAAAAATTAAAATGTGTCAGACAAATATTTGAAACTGTGTCAAAATATCAGAGAAAAGATTTAGGTGTAGCCTGAGTACAGAGAAATACCATTCTTATATGAGCATATGTCTCAAATGATTTTACTGCCTTTCGGTATCTATTTAAACACAGCTGAATAGAGAGGGCTTGCAATTCCTGCAAACAGGAAGCTTCAGGGGAATCTGCCTCCAAATGCTCTCAAACACAGCTTATTTTGGGGCGGACATCTCCAAAAGGTTTCCACTAGCTCTGAGCTAAGAGTCCACATCCTCAGTTACAACCTTCAGAGAATAAGAAAATGCAGAAGACCCAAATATTACAGAAAGACTTAAAAGCATCACCTACCACCAACTCTGAGGCTAAGCTTTTCAACCTAGAGGAAAGACTATTTTCTTTAGTAGCAGCATAACTAAGCTACCCTACTGCAAAATCCCACTCGAGTCTGGGCACTGGAGCTCACACCTACCAGACAATTAAGCAAGATCAGCATTGCACCTCCTGCCCTTACAGCCTGCTAGCACTTGACTGCCTACCCATGAAAACCACACTGCCTGATTTCCAGTAGCGGGACAAACACCGCATATTAATCATTTCATGGCTAAAATGTACCTTTCACAATAAAGATAAAGCCTCAAAGTAAAAACTTCCTATCCACAGCAAAGAACTTGAATAAACGGGCGTATTTCAGTTTGTTTCCTGTTCCAGGCCCTCTGCTGAGGGTGGTGGACCACAGAATCCATACCCCTTAAGAACACTATCTAATTATGCCCTAATGAAAAAGACATGATGTCAGCATTATCCAGACAACAACCTCTCACGATCCAATTTTCCTTTGATCTTGCACAACCAACCTACTCAGTTTATCTGCTTTTAATAACATGAATCTGACCAGCAAAGCTGATACTGTCATACACAGTTTTCAGTTTCAGCATCTTCTCCTAATGGAGCTTCTGAAATCATCAGGTGTGGCAAAGACAGCAGCTCTTTCAAATGTACTCATCTTCAGTGGCAGCACAGACACATAAACTGCAAAAAAGGACACACCCGAGACACCTAAGAATTACAGTTATCCATACATTAAGAATATAGTGCTGAGCAGTCATCCCCACTCCCAAATGACCATACTGTCAGTTGCTTGGCAAGTACAAGAAAATGGACTATTTCAAATAACGGACGAAAGCCATCATTTTACGCTTTAAGTTCTGTGCTTGTTCAACTACAAACTTCAACTTCTGTCACAGAAACTGGGCAGCAGTGGTTAGCAAAACATGGTATTAAGGAAATCTGTATTAAGCAATCCTGGGGATAAGCTATTGGTACAGTGCAGCGGTGCTAGAGAAAAAATAGTCAAAGTCACTGATGAAAGGATGATTTCAGCGGTATGGAGAGGCTGGAGTGTAGGAACAGGCACGAAAGTCTCAGCTTCCACTTCACTCTCCTGCACTCAGGCACGAGAGGGTGCACAGCACGGCACAAGCTGCCAGGGTCACTGCTCTCGGGGGGCTGCTCCGCTCCGGTGCCCCTGGGTACCCCTGGCATGGATGCAGCCCAAGGACTGACCGATGCAGGCTGTGTCACCAGGGACGGCTGACAGCGCCTCTGTCTCCAGCCCACCACTCTGCCCCAGCAGATGCTCTGACCCCTGCAGGGCAGGAGCCCCTTCCACTGCTGCCCTGAAAGGCTGTATTGTCCTTCAGGGAGGCAGAGTGAATGTCTCAGGGGTGTTAAGAATTTCTTCCGTCTGATTTTAACCCACTGTGTGTTTCTCACAGCGTTTTGATAATGGGACCTTAATAAAGCACGGTAATTTGCTTTCTTCCACTCGAAGAAGCAGGAATAAATTAACTTTTTACGGGTCGTATTTCATCTACACTATGTGACAACAGACTGTAGCTGGAGAATGCGATGCAGAATTACAACACCGAGCATTAAAAAACATCCTAAAGAGGTATGAGGAGCTCACACCAGCACATTGGGGTCTGTCCGTTTCTAAATCCTGCCTCAACACCAAAACAGCATTCACAGGGTTGCAAACTGTTCACAACTGTTCAGCTATACCAGCATTGCTAAAAAGTAACAAACAAAGGAGCAACTTGGTCACATTGATTCTGAAATCCTGAGGAGCTCGCCTCTTTGCATTTAACAGTGCCGAAGCCCCCAGCCTCCCAGAGCCTCCCCACCAGGACACTCGCAGGTTGTCTCTCCAGACGGAACAGATTCTGCTCCCATACAGGCAGCCACGAGCCATGCCTTACATAAGTCAATGTTGCAACTCCAAACAGAAATGAAAACTATATCAAATTATTTTCCCATTCCATAAATACCTGCTTTTGAAGTTTATCTAAATTGCTCCCAAATTCTCATTTGCTGACCCCTGGTTTTAAGACTTTGGGACACTTGACTCATTCAGGCTGGCTTTGCACAGAGCTCTACAAAAAAAAGACCCACAAAAAACCCCAGCAAAAACCTCTGTAAGGCTGTGAGCTTTCACAGTGCTATACATTTTTACAGCCATTCTAGACACCAAAAAGCATAAAAGGATTATTATTATTACTGAATAACTTATGTGTGAAATTCTTAACCTCATTTCTGATGTTTCCACCTCTTCAAGTTTTATGATTTGCTGGGTTCATTTCATACCCTTGCATGGCTCCATAAAAAATAATGCTAAATTACTACCAGAGGGCAACACTTTTTGTAATAAGTTTGAGGCTAGCCTGGATTTAAATCTAGGATATTGAGAAAGGGAAGTGGGATGGAACAGATGAGCAAGAGTGAAGCAAGTAGTTCATGTTTGAAAAACTTGACACTGTTGCATTGAAAAAATAATCAGCTTGCATTATTGATTTCAGCAGAGCTGCTTGCTGCACACAGATAAGCACTTGCCTGAACACTTGCTTCATATTTTCCTGATGAACTAAAAGGATTTGCAAGCCACCAAAGATCCTGTCAGATTTAACAGTTCTGTTTTCTTTGAATGTAATAAAGCATAATCCTTGGCTTCAAACATTTACTGAACTTCTGGCTTAAATACTCTGAAAACAGAAAGTTAACCCTACGTACAAGAATTTTTAAAGGTTATCTTCACACATAAGAGCAGGGCAGATGTCACCTTAAAACGTTAATACTGCACGCCTTTATGCTGCTCCACTTCAATGAGAGAATCTACTTGCAAAAGGAGATTCACATGGCGAATACTTGACAAGGCTGTTTCCTTTACAGTGCTTCTTTTTGTCTACTTACTTCGACATGCTTAACATCAAAGTTACAGAGTAAAAGTAAACCCACTACTAGAGTAACCTCAGAGCAAAACCGAGGACCTCTTGTACTTTTTGGAAAAAAGCAGCATGGTCTGCTCAGGATGGACCCTGCAGAAAAGGCTGCAGAATTCCCCAAAATGCTTTATCTGCTTTCTGCTCCAGCTGTGCCCAGGCAGGCCCTCGCCCTGCCCCCCTGGTCCCCCTGAGGCTTTGCGTCAGCACGGACGTCCCCAACGAGGTTAGACACCTTCGCGAGCCAACTGCAGGTCTCAGGTAAGCAAGTGTTTTTAATTCTCCTCTACTGTGTTAGTTCAGAAGATTCAAGTATCCCACTTGAACTAAAGAGCAGTACCTGGTTAAATCCACAGTGAAAGAGGGGATAAGGCAGGAAACACACTCTGCTCCTTGGAACTATCCCTATTTTGAAACCAAGCATGAGGAAGTCATAGAATCGTAGAATTGTGAAGGTTGGAAGAGACCCTTAAGATCATCGAGTCCAACCGTTAACCTAGCACTGCCAAGTCCACCACTAAACCATGTCCTCGAGCACCACATCTATCTGTTCTTTAAATACCTCCAGGGATGGAGATTGAGATTCAACCACTTCCCTGGGCAGCCTGTTCCAATGCTTGACCACCCTTTCGGTGAAAGGTCAACACAAGCAAGTCAGAAGTTCAACAGACTGTTAGAAATAACCCTTTATAATCGTCCCTTTTCATTCTTGAGTATTTTTGTGTTGCATTTGAGCAAAAAGTTACATTAAACCCCTGACCACAGATTTATTTACAGCATGTCAAATGAGGAAAAAAAAATCTGCCACTGCAGCTATGTTTAAAGTTCAAGAGCAATGAATCAAAATACTAAATACAGCTTTTGAAATACCCTCTCCTGAGGCTAAGGAGTCTCAAAGCGTTACATTTGTAGGAGGTCCTAATTCAGTTAGTCACCAAATCTTCCCAAGTGGCAGCTCTCACAAGCACTCCACAAAAGCGATGCCATTGAAACCATGCAAGAGACAAGTGTTTAGCTGTGCTGGCCGATGTTTGGAAATGTAACCACACAGCACTTCTTTTGCAGAGAGAGTAAACACATAAATTGTAAATGAAGATTTTCCTTTAACAGGCAAAGTATATTTAATACATTAATTTAAGCAGAGAACAAGCCAGACAAAAGCAGCTAATGAACCTCCAATCAAAGAAACTTCTTTAGAGATCCAAGGAGCATTTCTGATCTAATAGACTGATTAAATTAAAGCTCATTGCTAAACCATTTTTTATATACAGACAATTTAACCCATTCAGATCAATGAAAGGAGCTGAAGTCATTTATACAAGCAAATATCAAGC